AAAAATCCTTTCATCCTAACTTTCTGCTTTCTGGTAAACAATAAATTCTTACTTTGTGCTGGATTATAGTAGTTATTGGACTAGGAAGGACAAGAGATATAATTAATTTCATATCTCTAGTTACGAAATATAATTTAATTTTATGTAATAATAGTCCAATATTTTTAAAAAGGAATTACACTTCAATGTATCCTAATCCCATACACACTACAGTTACTAGTGAAGCTTTTAATAAGTAGCAATTTGTTTGGCAGATTACAAAAGTAAGGTATGACATAAAAAATGACTTTAAACTCTCTGAAAGATATCATAGCATTATTTGGACTCATAAATCTATATAGAGAATAGTTTGTTCCATATATTTACATTTTTTTTTACTGGCTCAACTTTACTAAAATTAGCAAAATATGAGGCTGTGAAAAAGGAGCATCTTGCATCCAGTACATATCAGAGGTTAAAAGAGGAGTTGGGGGAATAAGATGAGTTTGTTTGTTTTTCAGAAAAGCAAGAGAGTTTGTAGAAACCTCATCTGGAAGGTTTCTACAACAGATGTGCTTTAAAACTGACTTTAATCACTTGCACTAAGTTCTATATTCTTTCATCATGGGGACGTCATAAAGATCACTCAAAAAGTCTAAAAAAGCAATGTGTTTCAAATCTGCATCTCAACAAATGTCCCTAAGGGCTACTTAACTAACCTTAGTCTTGTCTTTAATTTGAGGCTTGCAAAGCCGATAATTCTTGATACACACTTCCTGCTCCTATTAATGGATGGAAAGTGAATGGAAAGGCCCTTAGGGAAGTGCTTAGGTCAGCCTTTACCATCCTGCAGATAACGCTGCTGGCCTCCTTCCCATCCTCAACTTTGTTATTCTTGGACCAGAGACCAGAAGAGGCATGCACTCACCTAACAAGGATCAATTACCCCTACTAAGTGTCAGACAACATACACGGCACTAGGCAGACAAAGATAAATAACATCTCATCGATCTGGAAAGTGCTATGACGAGGCAAGGTGAATAGTGCAATAGAAAGTCTACCTAAGTCGGTCTGGAGAAGCGGAAAGGGGAGAAGGCAGTGCTGCAATTGGCGCTTGAAGGATGAGCAAGAGAGATTGACAGGGAAACAGGCAAGGAAAAGCACCCTAGGAATGTAGTGATGCTCAGAAGCGTCTCCAACGATCTAATGCAGAGCTTCATGTGAAAGAATCAAGGAACACAAGACAGGGCAAAAGAGCATAATTCACCTGAGCAAATTCCATGGCTTGTGTAGGGTCTGCACTGTAGACAATTAGCCCTCTAGACTGCTTAATTCCCTGAATTGTTGGTTTCATTTTTTCTTTGTTCCGTTCAATGAAGGTTGATTTCTGTAGACACATGTTTATGAAGAGACTTCAAAAATTTTGTGGACAAATTTCCTTCTCGTTTAATTCCATTCCCCCCCCCCCCTCATTACCTTTGTGAAGCCCTTTGGATTGAGTGTTTTTATTCTTGGCTTCTTGTAAAAGTGTGATCATGTAATAGTTGTCCTTGTTATGATTGATTGATTTCATTCAGTACAGTGTCCTCCAAAATCATCCATGTTGTTTCAAGGACTCATTGTTAATCTTTTTTTATAAAGATCATTTTATTGGGGGCTCTTACAGCTCTTATAACAGTCCATGCATCAATTATATCAAGCATATTTGTCCATATGCTGCCATCATTATTGTCTAAGCATTCACATTCTCTTTGAGCCTTTGGTATCACCATCTTTATTTACCCTGTTTCTATGTATTTTTGAGATTAAGTTTTTATGGAATGTTCCTGGGGATATTCTCCAACTCTTTTGGTTGTACTTTTTCATTTCCAAACAATCATTTAATTATTCTTTATTTGTATACATTTAAAAATTGTGAATTGGGTGAGAATTTTATGCTTCAGACTGATTTTGTATTAACTATTAAAAATTACTTATCAGACCTCCTTACTCAACCCACCTTTTGATTTCTCTTCTCCCTTTCACTCATGTTAACACCTGTAAGTCTTTTAGCCAATTACTTTATCTTCTCTCCATTGCTCCACCCCAGAACTTGGTAAACTCTAATGCCAATTCCTTTTAGTATGAGTCTTTATCAAGTTGTTGTTGTTGTTTTCTTAAAATCGTCTCATATTGGTCCTTTTGTGATTGGACTAATTTCACTCAGCATACAGGAGCCCAGGTGATGTAGTGGTTACGGGCTGGGCTTTGATCCACAAGGTCAGCAGTTTGATACTACCAGCTGCTCCAAGAGAAAAATATGGGGCTGTCTACTCCCATAAAGAGTTACATTTTCAGAAACTCACTGGGGCAGTTCTATCCTGTCCTATGAGGACACTTTGAGTCCTCACCGACTTGATGGCAGTGAATAAGGACATACTCCAGGTTGATTCAGACCATGAGGCTCCTCATGGTTTAGTGTCCCACACATGATGGACATGTGTGTGCATGTCTATTCATGCTATGATTCTTACTTCTTTAGGGTTTATGCCCAGCAGAGGTATTGCTGCTTCATATGGAATTTCTATTCCGAGTTCTTTGAGGTAGCCTCATGTCACTTTCCACAGTGGTTGCACCCGCTCCAGCCTTTGTTGTTTCCTGCTTTGTATTTTTAAAAGTTGGCATTGGTGTAAAGTGGTTTCTCACTATTGCTTTGATTTGCATCTCCCAGAAGGCTTGTGATCATGAGCATTCCCTCATATGTTCTACTTGGAGTGAAAGGTTACATGGCAAATGAATTTGCCCAGTAGTTTATCCACAATTATTCCATGACATTAGTTGTACTCTCTACCAAATGTCAGTGACTTCCTTGTTTCCTACCAGGATTCCCTATTCCCATTCCTCTCGTTCCCCTGTCTTGCCCTATCTTCTCATCAGTGATTTTGGACAAATGTTGCCTGTTCATCACACAGTTGATTGTTCTCAGGAAGATATTCTTCATGCAACTTGTTGTATAGTCCCAACCTTTATTTGGAAGAAAGGAGGCCTTTGGGAGTACAAGTTTCAAGTTAGAAGAGTTTTCAATGAATCCAACAGTAGCTTAGGCTTGTGGCTGAAGAGGTAAGTTAACCCAAAGTTGGCAGGTCAGATGGCAGGCCACTAATGACTCCTGGCATTAACAGGCACTATGGTAGGCCAGTGTCTCAAGGCCAAAGAACTGGAGGTCAGTGAACTAGATGTAGGACCCAAATACAACAAAAAGCAAGCAAGTTTTTCCATAATGTCCTCTTATTTAAGAAGTAGGGCACACCTCTGAGAAAGCCTCACTTTGATTGTATCAGGGCTGTGTCTTGGAGAAAGGGATTGAACTCTACCTTCATCCTACAACTGTTCCCAGCAGCTCCCATCATGGCCTTGATTACATCATGGCAGGTCACATCATGGAGTATTACTAGGTTTCAACTGTCAAACCACTGAGAATCCTGGCCCAGCCAAGTAGACACAAAACCTTATTATCACACCATCTGAGACCAGTGCTGGGAGTAAGCAAATGCTATTGATTTTTGGGAACCTGGAGGGAAAAAAAGCTCTTTAGTTCAATATCCGTTTCTGTTAAATTTAGCTTAAAAATAGCTCCCCCACCCCACACTGATTATGAATTAAATGCATGTTCATCGAACAAAATTAAAGTAAGGCAGAAAAAACATGAAAAATAAATAAAGGTAATTTATAATTACCAGATAGAGATAATGTAACATTTCTATGTCTGATATTAATAGAATGACACTTATCAGCTAGAAATCTGGAACATGCACAGTGTTTATGCTGTCTCCAAGCCCCTTCCTGTCCCTTTCTCTCCATCTTCAGTACTATGACCTTCCTAACTTTGCCTCTGTTCTCTAAATTCACATTTCAGTGATCTTGTGATCATTTTACATTGAGCTCCTCCAGTTCGTCACTAAGCCCTGCACAACTGCTGCTATTCTGAGTGCTGACATTGTACACCCTCTGCGTAAGTGGTAGGTGTGGCTGGGGCCATGGTGCTTGGGATGCTTCTTCTAACAGCCCAAGGGGTCACACATATGTTGATACTGTTTGGACATGTTAGGAAACTACTTCACTTTGCCATATTGGGAGTAAGCCTAACTCATCCTCTACAACAGGCCCTTTGCTAGCAATCATTCCACTAATTTTCACCAGAGGAGTATTCTATTTTTACCATCAAGATCCAGCCTCTTGTCACAGACTCATCATGGCAAGTCTAACTGGTGGAATGGGCCTCTGTAAGATGGACATTCAATTAATTACCACATCACCCCTTTCTGAACTACTGCAAAGATTCTAGCCCCCTGAAAATACCATGCACATGATTTCTTCCCATTTTTGCATTCTGCCTCTTTTGGGGGGAAGGAAAGTAAGACACAACTATAAGGACATTGCTTATAGCACTTGATAAGCTTGACCTTTATTTTACCACATAAGTCATAACTACTATCTACCACAACCTTGCTATTTTTTCCCCTTTTCCTTCTTCCTCCCACTCATCTCCCGCCACTTCCCCAGAAGCATAAAATTTTCAACATCCTGCTGTCCATTAGCATAAATAAACTCGTGCTTTTAGAGTAAAAATAATGTCAATGCTATAATTGTCAAGGGCTGCATTATCATCAGAAGATAAGAATATTCTGGAGAAACAACGGGTAGACTCTGTCCTTTAGAGGCAATCACATACATTTACTGTGGTTCCCTGAAAGTCAATGACTTTATAGATTAAACCTTACAACACAGCACAAGTTACATTTCCACTTCAGAAATTCTTGAGCCAGGCAGTGTCTCAGGATATGTACCTTCATGTTTTGATGTATTTTTCTGTTGTTAATATGTTTTCAGCAGATCTATGAACAAAATAAGAAAAATATGCCATGCCATTTAAATTTAATTTTTTCTCTATGAGCCAATAAATAATGTTATTGTAGTTTGCCTTTGTTTTGTTTTGATATGTTGGTTGTTCATTTAAATTTCATGTAACATTTATATAACAGATAAGAAAATACTGGGCTAAGAAAGAACAGAAGTGGCAAGAAATGGAAATGAGAGACACTCAGCGTCTGGAAGAACTGAAAAAATTAATGGCTGAGCAGTCGGTGAAAGACAGAGAAAGGTAAAGGGAAAATGTTTCCTTGTCTGGCAATGGAGATGATGAACAGAGTCCTCTGTTAGGGTAACAGAATAGAGTCTTGTGCTAAGGTCAGTTATATTAGTGGGGACATTTTCAACAACGCATATGTACTTATATTTATATTCACAATTGGATAAAATCATTTTAAACTCTAATAGTCACACACACACACACACACACACACACACACCTCTTTTCCCATTCTGTTGCTAAGGTAGATTTCTGGTTCAAATCCCCACAGAGGACTTTATAGTACTTGATGGCTAACTGTGTGCAGGAAATGATACTAGCTGCTGCTGTCACATAATGTTTTGACCCAAAGAAACTATTATGCAGATATAAAGGGTCCCCCTTTTATTGGTTATGATTGAGGGTAGGAAACATGATACACACATATGGAAAGCTATAATGCTATTCATTGTAATGTACGAGGGGGCTTCATGGAAGAGTTCATGGAAACTACATTGCAGCAAACTTTTGGAAGGCTCCATGTGTTCAAGGTTGATCCTCTATGTGACAAATCTGTACTGCCTGTAATCACGTTAACTTAAAAGCTGGGAAGGACAGTTGGGGTCAACTACTGCAGTCACTTCATTTTATGAATGAGTACCCTGAGGAATTAAAATTATTTTTTCCAAGGTCAATGTAGCAATCAGAGTCGATCAAGAGACAGAAACAACTCTGTAATTTGGACAGGGAAAGTTAAAGGTTAAACTGTAGCAGGAAATCCCTGTTATTTGAAGAAATATGAAGAAACAAAGAGGACTCTAAATATCCCAAAGTAGAGGGAGAGTTTCGAAGGAAGAAAGAAACTTGGAAGTCGAGCCCTCCTCTCCACGGTCAGAGGAGGTAGGACTGTAGCCCACTGGATGTCAGGGAAGTTCTTGAGTGGCCGAAGCTGACCCATGGTTGCTGAGCAATCAGAAAGCACCTTTTTTAGGTGCTGGTAAGCTTGGGCTGGGAAGCTGTCCATGGGATGGGATGCCTGCAACTCTTTCTAGGCATCTGCCTATGAGAATGATTCCCATTTTGATAGGTTGCTGTCTATGGGGCTGCTGCTGGGTCTCTATGGGTTCAAGTACCACCAGGTGATGTGTAGCATGCTCCACTTTACAGAATAGACAATGAGAGGTAATAAATTGATAATAACTCCTATTGGTTATGTAGCTTCGTGTCCTTCTGAATGATTTTTACAAAAGCTCACCAGAAGAAGCTTCCATTTCAGCCCGTCACAATAGGAGTCCTTTACATAGAGAAAGCCCTTCATGAATTTCCCTAAGTTAGCCATTGCAGTTCAAAAACACTCAGATGTATACATAACTTGGAGGTAGAAGGTAAAATCCTTGTACATATTGAGGGTCACTGTGTCTGTGAAGGTTTCTTTTTCACTTTAGGCATTATTTCAGGTTGCAGTCTGGATCTGGAGTTCCAAATAGATGGCAGACAATTCCTAAAGACTTTCTGGAGAAAATTCAAATGATTTTCTAGGTAGCTCAGGATTTTAGGGCTGGGCAAAATCTATTACTGAGAGTATCAAGAGCATAGCAAAGTCAGATGGCAAGTTTGAGAAATGAAGCAGTCAATGAGAAACCAGAAACACAAACCTGGGCAAAGTACAGGCAATCCCCAGGTTATCAACATCTTATTTATGTACAACCCATAGTTCCCAACCAACACCCTTAAAGCCTATTATAAAAATATTCAAAGTACATGCAATGGATTGTAATATAAAACAGGCACTATATTGCAATATGCATGAATGTATTATTATCACATTAATGGTATTATTATGTTAAAGATGTTTCTGTATACCTTGGAGAATTTCTCTTATGTTTTTGTATGCGTAGAAAGTTGTAATATATAGCAAGAAAGCATTTACTAATTGACATTAGATACAAAGTCTTCCTAACTGTTACTACTAACCAAAAAAATTCAACTTAAAGATAGACTAGTTCCTATTCTGGGGACAGGCTATATTAGTAAATAGCAGAAAGCAGGCCATACCATCAGTCAGAAACAAAGAGTATACAAGAAGACCCCCACCCCCACCCCCACCCCAACACACAGTTACTAAAGAACAAGGCAAAGGCTGTTATCAACATGTTGCCTTTATAGTCTGAAACTATGTACCAGGCAAGCAAAAAAGAGCCACAGAAATCAAAGGGCTAGGATAAGCAGAACAGGTGTGGGGTCCCAGCATGCTAATAGAACTCTTTTAGTAGAATCACCCCCCACTGCCAGGGAACTTCTCTGGTCATTGTGCCAGTTTGGTCTCTACTTCCTGTTCCAATAACTGTCAAGATGAACAGATTCAGAACATCAGTGGAGAAGGGAAAATCAAATCAATCAATACTTCATAACAGGAGAAAATGGGCATAGTATCACAAAGTGACAAGGTCAACCAGGAGACCCAGTATTAATCTTACCTCTTTGAATTGTGTGTGACCCAAGGGAAGCTGTTTATTTAACCTCCACGAGTCTCTGTTTTGTCCTCTTTAAAATGAGGAGCCAAACCTTGATGGGATGAATCAATGGAAATGAAAACTCAGGACAAGAGTATCAGGGGACATCAATTGGAATAACATAGTCCAGAAAGATAATGCTCTGTATCCTACTTCGGTGAGTAATGACCGGAGTTTTAAAAGCATCTAACCGTACATTTAAGATGAAATCTGGATTGTCTATCCATCCAGAGCCAAAAAGAGGGGGAAAACAATCAAAGATGTATGGAAACAATTAGGCCAAATGACTAATGAATCATGTGAACGCCAGGGCCCACACCCCTGAGACCACAACTGACATCTCTGAATATTCCACTATCATGTTCAGCCTTCATTTGGGTTTCAATAATTCCTCTGTTACCTTGCCCTTGATCAAGCCCTACCACGCATCCTATGCCCTCCTTGCCAACAATTTTAGATCACTTGTTGTTTCCTTGTCCCTGGGTTTGTTAACACCCACTTTCTTTCCCCCGCCCCCTCCCTCCAGTGTCCCCCTGGAACCATTGGTCCTGTTGTTTTCTCCTCTGGATTGTTTATCCTGCCTACTTTATCTAGATAGACATGCAGAGAGAATAAAAAGCACAAAAACAAGACGGCAAAAGAAAACAAACAACAACAAAAAAATTATCAACAGAAAAAGAAAAGTCTACAAATAGTTCCGGGATTATTTGTAGACCTTTAGGAGTGTTTTCCGGTTGAGTCTGATGGGGTGCCACACTCTGGCCCCAAGGTCTACTTTTGGTACTCCCTCAGGGACTTCATTGCTTTGCTCCCCTTGATGTTCTGTTGTATGCCCTTAGTGTTTCACCCTGGTGTGGTAGGGTCAAATCAGGCACAATTCCTGCACTGTGCCTCCAGTGTTGTCCCTCCTAGTGCTACGGGTCAGTGAGGGATATTGTGTCTCGTGGTGGAGCCGGCCCTGTGATCCTCTCTGTGCATTGGCTGCTCTGAACAGGAATATCATCCTCGGGGCTTGGTGGGCCAGGATGTGTTGCACTCTCTCCTTCCCTCTTTGTTTGCTCCTGTGTGCTCTGATCAGATGCTCCCCTCTCCCTGAGTTATAGCTTCAGTGCTTTCCTCTGAAGTGAATTCTTCTGGGGGTAGGCAAGGATTGGGGCCGACCCTACAGACCTCTCTATTGGTTCCCTGCTTCATGCCAGTAAGTCGCATTCACATCTTGGCACACCGTGTTGAAGTCTGGTCCCTCTCTCCTTCTCCTGTGGAGATGTAAGCAACACTCTTCCCTTGAGTGGGTTAGTGCCCTGTTCCCTGGCTATCCATGGCTTTTTTATTTTCTTCTTTCTTTTCCCCTCCTTTTTTAGTTGGCTGCCATATGTATCCCTGGATTGGATCTGGTCACTTCCATAGCACCTGGCCCTCACCCCAGGAATGTATGTATACAGTAGCTTTTCCCCTATGGCTCTTTTTGCATTTTTAAGCCTACCTCAGCGGGTTCATGTTGTATTTGTACTTCTTTGCTTGGCTTACTTCGCTCAGCATATTTTCCTCCAGTTCTTCCCATGTGGCAATATGTTTCATGCATTCATCACTGCTTTTTAGGGATACATAAGAGTTCATTGTATGGACGTACCACAGTTTTTTAATCCATTCATCCATTGATGGAAATTTGGGTTGTTTCCAACTCCTTGTGATTGTGAACTGTGCTGCGATGAACATTGGACTACAGATGTCTGGCCATGGTTTGTGTCTTGCCTTTTCTGGGTATATGCCCAGTAGGGGGATTGCTGGGTCATATGGTAGCTCAATTTCTATCTGTTTCAGATATCACCAAATTGATTTCCATAGTGGCTGTACATACCTACAGGTCCACCAGCAGTGGATGAGAGTTCCTATCTCCCCACAGCCCCTCCAACACTTGTTATTTTCTGATTTTTTGAACTGGGCTATCTTTGAAGGTGTTGGGTGGTATCTCATAGTTGTTTTAATTTGCATTTCTCTTATGGCTAATGACCGGGAACATTTTCTCATATGTTTATTGGCCATTCAGAGTTCTGCCCTTGTGAAACATCTATTCAGTTCCTTTTTCCCACCTCCTCAGTGGGCAATTAGTTTTTTTTCTTTTAGTAAGCTAGCAGAATACTATAGATTTTAGTAATAAGGCCTTTGCCTGATATGTCATTGCTAAAGATGTTTTCCTAGTCCATGGAAAAACATCTTATTACTCCCTTGGTGAGTTCTTTTGATGTACACAGGTGTTTTATCTTCAGTATATCCCACTTGTCAATTTGTGCCTCATCTGTATTTGTGCCCTTCCCTATTTCCAGTAGCCTATGTATTCCTTGTGCCAAAGTTCTCAGGTTTGTCCCAGTTCCTTCATTGATGGCCCTAATTGTTTGGGGTTTTACCTCAAGGTCTGTGATCCACCTTGCGTTTATTCTTGTGCATGGAGTGAGGTAAGGGTCTTGTTTCATTTTTCTGCAGGTAGATATCCATTTTTTCCAGCACCACTTTTTGAAGAGG